TTGGAGTAATAGCAGAATTCTACTCAGGTGCATTCTCTAGGTACCCCACAGCTAACTTTCATGTCTCTCAACAGCTTGCACCTGCAGCCAAGTCTGTGCTAACTCATAATATTATTCTATAGGAAAGACAGAGGACCAAATAAGATCGACTATGTCCTGGAACAAGTCTAACTTTCTTCCCTTCACCACCTACCCCAATGTCTAACTTCCTTCTTTTGTGCATCCAGCAATAGATTTCTACTGACAGCAGTACCAGTTACCACCCTTCTCTACCCAGGAACAGAAAAAGATTTCACTGACTCTCATCTAAGTGGATTCAAACAACTGGCTAGCCATTCAATTTGCATTTTCAGCAAGCAAGCCTACTCATTACAAATGCCTCACTAACTACTCTCCCCAGTACAGCATGCATCGCTCCTCTTTTCCTATAGAGCAAGGAAAAGCCCAAAACTGTGTTGATCTCTTTGTCCACCAGTCCCAGGTGCAAGAAGCCCTTTTCTCTTACACAGCTGCCAGCAGAGAAAGATCTTCTTCCCCCTGCTGGTAGAGATCGAACTTACACTCTCCCTGGATGCTGGAGGCATTGCTATGGCGACAGCAGCTACAAGCCCAGTACCTGGCGGGAAATCCCCGTCCAAGCCACTCCTAATCCCGCTCTGGCTGAGACAAGCTGGACTGAACAATGACATCTGCGACTGAAGCCTAGAATCTCTCCAACAACAAATAAACTTTCTCGCCAGGGCTGTGCTCCACAACAAAAGAACATTAAACTTAATAAACATGGGGAGGGTATATGATATTAGAAAAAATGCTGTCTCTTTGTAAATAAATCAAATGTTGTTGAAACCAATGTTAACACTCACAAAAAACTCTGTAATAACCCATTTTCAAGATTTCAACCCATGCTGATTGTTACTGCCATTTGCTAAAATCACCACAGGAAACAGGTCATGGTCAGTTATCAAACTTTGGATTTTCCCGAGATGAAATGAGTTGCTTCTTAGGGCTGGCGATGACACTTTTTCATATTTTAATCAAAGAGGGGGAGATGTTGGGGTCCTCTGTTATGCAAGTAGAAGTCTCTTCACATCCGGATAGCTCATGAGCTCGGAAAACCATGTGCTGCAGACTCCTTTCATAGCAGAGTGCCTTCCTGGCATCCTCCCTGACCCTTCTCTTTAAGTGCTCGCCACAAATTCATTCCCTCTGGCACAGGAGCTACCAGGTTTTAATCAGGCATTGTCTGATAGCCTGATAGAAGCCCACCGCCCTATGTAAATGAAGCATTTCAGGAGTACCTATCAGCTAAGGTTTTTACTACCACCCCCATAGTATAAAATATCCTGGTTTCCCCTCAATAATCGGAGCTGGATCACCGAGACTTGGAGCCGAGCTAAGTCACTGAATAAAGGGGCTGTACCACTGACTGAGCTGAGTTCTGTGTCTTACTGCCTACGATCCAGCCTCCCCGGGGGGCGCTATCTTTCCGTCATCGATTCATGGAAATCCAGCTTCAGCCGTCCCGCACCTCTCCTTGTGACCTGGCAGCTGACGGGTCCGAACTTAGAGAGTGCACGAGTGAAATTGGGGCGGAACTCGACCGGGCCAGCCCCGGTAGCAGAGTCCCACAGAGACGCGGAGAAGCAGGGACCCGCCAGCAACGCGGAACAGACGAGTCGCGGGACCCGCTGCTTCCCAGGTGCGCACAGGAGACCAGCGCCACGCTAGCAGCTGGCGCCCCGAGATCCCTGCACATCCATACCCAGCTTTGATTCTAAAGGATCTTTATTCAACACACTGGTGTTCAGGAACAATTTTGTATTTAAGACTTTCCATACCATATATAAAAAATTAAATACCTTTCTATATTCCTGGAGAACTTCTTTTATCTGTTCTAATTCTGGATGATGAGGTAAAAAATATATTTCATGAAGAAAATCTTGCACAGCATCCCTAATAGTTGAAATAAAAATAATTATTTGCAAGAATCTGAATGTAAAGCAAAAGTTGAACCACTGTTAATTTAATTCATAAAGGCTCTAGGTGATTACTGACATGCAAAAGAATTTTCGTAGACACGTGCAGGGTCCTAGCTAACTTAATATTGGCAATTGAGCTGGTGATAATTAAGTGGTAGAGCCCTTGGTGAGCATGCTCTCAGACTACATGGAAAGGGAGTAGCTCATTGCAATTTACCTGCCAGCAGAATATGGCCATACCAATGACTTGATAAGATCAACAGAAGAAATAAGCAGAGCTCAAACTAAACTGCAAAACTATAGGCAAATGAAAGTGCTAATTGTTTTTAAGGCACTAAGTTTTGGAGAGTTTTGTAATGAAGCATTAAGTAGCTGTGCTGGACAGCTTCAGTTGTCAACTTGACACACTAGACTGGAGAAAATCACAATTAAGGAATTTCCTCCATTGCATTGGCCTGTGGACATGTCTGTGGGGCATTTTCTTGATTGCTGAGAGATGGAGGAGGGCCCAGCTCACTGTGGGCAGTGTCACCCCTGGGCAGGTGGTCCTGTGTTGTATAAGAAAGCAGGCTGAGCAGGGCCCAAGGGAGCAAGGCAGTAAGCAGTGTTCCTGTGTTCCATGTATCTGCCCTGAGTCCTGCCTTGGCTTCCCTTAATGATGGACTGTGAGCTGTAAGCCAAATAAACCCTTTCTTCCCCAAGTTGGTTTTGGTCAGTGTTTTTGTCACAGTAATAGAAAACAAACTAGGACAGTATTAAAACCAATCTCCAAATACAAACTTTCCTATAGAATTTTTGAGGGGCTGGAGAGATGGTTCAGCAGTTAAGAGCACTGGCTGCTGTTGCAAAGGACCAGAGTTTGGTTCCCAGCACCCACATGGCAGCTAACAGTCCTCCCTAACTCCAGTTCTAGGGGATAGGGGATCATCACCCTTTCTGGCCCCCCGTGGGCATTGCATGCACATGGTAGACAACATACACGCAGGCAAAACACTTTTTTTTAGAAAAATATAAAATAATCCTTATTGATACTATAATTTTTATTTGTCTACAATATAATAAATAATCTTCCTAGTTTCCAATGTATTTATAATTCTAGTCTTTATTAACTAATGCAAAAAATATAAACATCTACCATGTACTATTGTATGCTAAAACATGTGCTAGACATGAAATGAAACAATAAACAAACCAAACAAATTCCTTCACTCTGGAGTCTGAAGGTTCTACCTAGCACTAAATTAAAGAAGATTCTTCCTAGGATATGAAAAAGTCAGGAAAATTATCTTAACACCTAACAATAAGGATAGAAATATTTGTATAAAAACCTAAAAGACATTTGAAAAATGATCTTAGTTCTTTTCATGTTCTAGCATGTAGAAAATAAAATCTAAAAGTATTTTAAATGAATAAAAACTTATTAATCTGGCCAGGCATGGTACTGCACTCCTTTAGTCCCAGCACTAGAGGCAGAAGCAGGCCGATTTCTGTGAGTTCAAGGCCAGCTGGGTTTATGGGGAGACCCTGTCTCCAAAAGACATAAATAAATAAATA